CCCCCCCCCCCCCCCAAAAAAAAAACCCACCCCGAACAAAAATTGTTGACAACCAGAGTTTCTCAGCGGGTTTGGGCTGTACTCAGGAAGCGCAGTACAGCCCCCAAATCAGATTAAAAAAAAAATCAACTTGCCGAGTAAGTAGGCTAAGGACGGATTCGAACCATCATTCCTGGATTTGCAGTCCAATACATTACCTTTATGTTACTTAGCCTTTGATTTGATTGATGAAGAAGAAAGGTGCGAAGCATTGGGTCAAAAGTTCCACTGCAACGGTTGCCCGGTCACCCGTCCAGTCTACTAAAGTGCCCACCAAACCGTGCAAGATGTCGTACATCACACGGCTTTCCAACTTGAGTAATGAATAACCTCATGCATGATGGATGACTCCAATCAGGAAGTCGCCCGATATCATACAGTTGTGACTCTGGCGAGACTCTCATTAGTGTCTCCAACCACTCTGGCCAGACCTTTCTGCTCGAGCGAGCCTCTACGAAGAAATGTGGCTCGAAAGAGCGAGCTGGGAGTCTGGATTTCGGAACCTGGTTACCAGCCATTGCGTGGTTTCTTTAGGTCTTTGCCTGAAGGGTGTTTCCTGAGTGGACGGCGGACGGCCGACCGGTCGGCCCAACTGGTTGGCTGCAATACGGTCGGCGGTCGGGGTCGGCGGTCGGCGGGGATGCAACCCTGAGTTCAGGTGCAAACTTGCTGCAACAGGCTATGGCGCATCGGCGCCTGTACATCCCAGCTCTCGGCACTGTGTCCAACACCACTGTTCGCACATATTCACTCTGGATCACCCTGAATATCCCACACGCATTCACTGTCTCACACTTTCGTACACAGACTAACATGGCGCCTGCAGACCACCGCGCATAAGGCGCTCGGGCAGCGCTTCCGCATGGCTCACACAGGAATCAATGAATGTATGGACGCTGCCTCTTGATTTATACTTCTGTAAGTCGCTGGTCTGCTCTTTTCCACCGGGCCCATGGTGCACACAGTCCCTCATGGTACTGGCTGACTGTACAAAGTGAGACTGGGACTGGGTACTGCTGACTGAGCGAAGTTGGACTCACCACTTGCCCACTTGTGTTGCATACTGTAACTGTGCAGACCAGAACAAGAACCGACCTCTCAATACAAAGTACAAGATAGCGTAGCGGAAGACTTAGATACCAATGATCCGAACAATCAATATTGCAATGCAGCCCCGAACATACATCATCATCATCATTCCATGGTGTGAAGGGGTCTGGCGCTTCACACAGGAAGACTGCGCCAGCCCCAACCATACACAGACGAAGAAGAGGGGGGTTAGACGAAGAAGAGGGGAAGATGGGGAATGTCGTCAACAGGCCCAAATAGTCCCTCGTCAAAATGTCTGAATCCCAATGTCGAGTCTGGATCCAATGTCGTCAAGTCTCAAGTCACAACTCTCTCTCTGTCGTAGTCCACTGATACTGAGAAGTCAGGTAGTGAGAGGGTGAAGAAGAGATGGTGGACTTAGAAGAGGAAGAAGAAGAACTCTCTCTCTCTCTCTCTCTCTCAGTCCGGTATTAACCTGTGAAGTTCGCCCCTTGATGCAGGTACCTTGAAGATGGAGCTGGAGATGGGCGCCACAGGTAAGTCTCGCTGGCCTCCGCCAGCCATCTCTCTCCCACACTACTACTACCACCTACTAGCACCCAGCGCTGAAGACACTGCTGTGGCTACTAGCGCCCAGCGCTGAAGACTACTGCTAGTGCTAAGCTACTCTTGGCAGCGCTCCTCCTGAGTGCTGCGGCCGAATCCTGAAGACTACTACTGCCTCTGTCCAACTACCTTGCCTGTAGGGAAGGCCAGTCTTATATAGTGCTGGCCCGTCCAGGAGGCTGCTCTTGCCAATGCCCAAACGTGCTAGACCCTGAGGAAGCTTCCGGGAAGTTTGCAGGTAGCTTCTGGCTAAAGCCTGAGGAAGCTTCCGGAAGTTTCCAGGTAGCTTCAGGCTAAAACCTGAGGGGCTATAGCCTGAGGGGCTATAGGTCCTTGTTTTCAGGCTGTCAGGCTGAAATGACACGGGGCCTGTAGGCCCTGGTTTTCAGGCTGTCAGGCTGAAACAGACACAGGGCCTGTAGGCCCTGGTTTTCAGGCCGTCAGGCTGAAACAGCCACGNCTGTCAGGCTGAAACAGACACAGGGCCTGTAGGCCCTGGTTTTCAGGCCGTCAGGCTGAAACAGCCACGGGGCCTGTAGGCCCTGGTTTTCAGGCTGTCAGGCTGAAACAGCCACGGGCCCTGTAGGCCCTGGTTTTCAGGCTGTCAGGCTGACACGGACACGGGGCCTGTAAGCCCTTGTTTCTAGGCTTTTAGGCTGAGACTGCGGGACAGGCCCTGCAGGGCCGTGTGGCTACACAGTATGCCACACTTGCCTCTGGTCTGCTGTGTATAACGTGAGAAGAAACTTGAAAGGCCACTTCCGGACCTTCCGGAAGTCTGTGCACTTTGCCTTTCAGGACTGTTGCAGCTACGACCTTGACCTTTCAGGACTGTAGCAGCTACTACCTTGACCTTTCAGAGTTGCTACAGCTACGGCCTCTACACAGCTATGACCCCTAGTTGACAGGTCTACAGATCGACCCCTACTGCTACACAAACCTACGACAAGCAACAGTCAACTACTAAAACATAGATCACAGGTTCAAACACACACAAGGGTCGACTTCATACTGTACACGGGGAAGGTGAGGTCTGGGGATCGAGCCCAAGGAGCTGCATCTGTTACTGCAAAGGTGAAAAACCGTTTCAAGTTGTTCGGGGTTGTTGTAAACGCGGTTGTGATTCTTGGAACAAGTACTCTGGATTGATTTGAGGAGGACGAGGGATTGCAGGATTGAAATTCATTTTTCAATTCTCTGTGTATTTTGAGCTTCCGCTTTGCATATCTTCTCTCCGGTTTTGTGTGGATTGTCCTCGTTCGAGTCTACTCTGCAATTGGATGCGTGTATGGGAACGTGTGAATTGGTTGTGGATTGAAGTTCAATCGGGTACATAACAGAGGTACCGGTGGTTTGAACTTGGGACGGACAGGTTCTCTACGGTCCCCGATCGAAACTATCCTGTTGGATGGGCACAGAGGTAAAGGGTGCGTGGACTTCATTTATTGAGCACCAGCGCTGGGGCCGAACTGGACCACGGTATATCTTCAACAATAGAAGTTGCAGAATCCTTCGGAGTGGAGCCCTCCCCACTGCTTTACAACGGGGATGGGATTTGGAAGTACTGCCCCAATTGCGTTGATGCAATTCATTTATTGAATCTGAGGCCTGTGGTACATGTGCTGGCTGTGGAAAAGGTTGGCCTACTGGCTGCGGGGAAAGCTGGTGGTGTGTTGAAAATTTTGCTCACGAAATATTCCTGGATTGGGATTTTCACCTGTTGTCAATGATTCACCACTGCCTCCTGGAGGTGTGCACCGTCTTTGATGGTTTCTTGTTACGGACTTCGCCAGGGCTCGATCCCTGGTCTATCTTTTTGCTGTTTCAGCTGCATCCCGTTTTCGGCCTGGCGCCCTTTTTCCAGACTCCTCCTTTGGTACCGTAGGATTTCGGACAACTGGCGCCATGCTGCAATTCGGGCGCCACTTTCAAATACTGCATTTTTCAGTTCTGCCCTCGGGGCCTTTGCAGAAATGC